ATCAAATCACTGGCATATTAACTATGAAAACATGTTTATGACTGCTGAAATGTATTATTGCTTTAAAAAAAAGTCACATATTGTGCATTTCTATTATACACAATTTGTACTAAAGCGATCTAAAAAGTTCATATCAATAAGTTTTCTCTTTGCACCACCAGGTGGCAGTCTTTGTACTTTCATTTCGAGGGTGCAGATTGCATACGTTTTATTAATATGTATAACTTAATTTATTTTATTAATGACTATAACTTATATATATATATATGTATATATAGTTAAAAATATGTACCATTTCCCCAAGTGTATATAACTACTACTGTCAGAAAATATCAGAATTCGGAACATACTTTCTGTATTATCTTTGCTTGAACTGACCCGATCTAATCCTGTTTATATGAATTGAACCTGCTCCCGATCAGGTTTGACCTAGCAGAACTGATGCTACGACAACAACTCTCGGATCAGCTTTGAAGAACGAAACGATCCTGGATCGTGTCAAATCGTCAATATACAAATCCAGCTAACTGAGTAATCCACGTACGAAGAACGAACCCCAGGTGAATTGGGTAGGCTAAATTGTTTGTAGTGTATGAGTGTGCACGTGTGTGTGTGTGTGGATGTTTCCCAGAGATGGGTTGCGGCTGGAAGGGCATCCACTGCGTAAAAACATGCTAGATAATTTGGCGGTTCATTCAGCTGTGGCGACCCCGGATTAATAAAGGGACTAAGCTGACAAGAGAATGAATGAATGAATGAATGAATAATAATAATAATAATAATAATAATAATAATAATAGCAACAACAACAACCAACAACATAAACAGCAATAATATCATTATTATTATTATTATTATTATTGTTATTAATATTATTATTATTATTATATGTTAATGGAAAGTCATTGAATAAAATTATAGAAACAGAAAAGTTGTTAAAGGTAATACACAGAATTATAAAATGTGTTTTTGTTCACAATACAATGTAAAATAAAATTTAAAAAAAATAATTTTCAGCAGCCATTTATTCAGTGCCACATGATCAGCATCACATTTAATCATTGTAAAATTCTGTTTTTGAAGAAACATCTATGTAAGAAAAACAAAATGTTCTTAATTAATGAGGAGTGTAGTATACAAACTTCTCGTTGTACAGTTTGGTACGGTATGAGTCGTTTCTAGTCAGATTTACAGACCCTTACAGTCTCTGATATGTTACTAATTACAGCAAAACTACACACAGCATACATGTATTCCTTATTTCGGAAAACAACATGCAACATATAGCACAGTCAGTGCAAACCACTCGTATGCATCTTTAATCTTCACCAGCACATGCAACCTCTTGTTAGAAAGTTCATAATAGTCCAAATCACTCAGTGGAAATGGGCCATATAAGTTACCTCTATTTTTCACCGAATTTGACCTACACTGTTGTTTGAATGTAAAACTATTTACAAATCATGTTTTTCTCCTTTGTTTTTAACTTTAAATGACAACCATGAATTTATTTTTGCTTTTTTGTATCTAATCAAATGTTTGACCTTTTCTCCTCGCATTGTCCATCCATTTATTAATTAATTATTTTTTAAAGCGTCATCATGAACGTTAGCTGACCAGATTCTCCCGGACTGCATATTTTATCATTTTGTGTTTACCCACAGTTTCTAATATGCAAATCCATGATGTTAACTACAGTTTCTAATATGCAAATCCACAATGGTTCTGTATTTTCACAGAGAATCTGACTGGAAGAGTCCCAGATATTAACAATGTTCTTTTTATTCAAAACAGCAGCTGTCATTTTCAACCCGTTTTATTATTATTGTTTTTTTTTTTTTTTTTTGGAGTTACAAAGGTTTTGCCCAGACCGGAAAACATAGTACTTCACCGAAATAAAATGGACGCAATGCAGTGCACGGTCCCTCTCCCTTCCCCTGTGTGGTCCATTAGAATGTGTGGGTCATGAGTTTTGGCCCCAGCTGTCTGATTAAATGGACAGATTGACTTTTGGCTGAGAGAGCCGCTTCATCCCCCTCTACACACACACACACACACACACACCCCTGCATGTGCACTGAAACCTTTGGCTTGGTGCTGGCTGATTTTAAATGCGCCTTCTGCATGCATGAGTTCATCTGTGTTTGGTGTTTGTCTGTGGTTGTGAGTGTTTTATGGATTCTTGAGACAGTATTACTGAAAACAGTTTCCACCTTCTCTAGCCTCTGTCTTGCGCTGCGTTGTTATTTTGCACATTATTTGTGCAGTTCTGTGTTAAATTGTTTTGATTAAAAAGCAAATGTTTGTGCTTGGTTATATTTGACCACATTATGATTATAAGGCTCTTGTTTCATATCTTACAGATAAACCACTTGGATGTTAACATTTTATGTTAAAACTGCAAATGGATCATGAATGGACAAGCACACGCAAAAAATTGTGATGTTGGAATATTTTCTTGTAAAAAGTAGAGATGCTCCGATTCCTTGATCAGTACTCGTTGATCAGGCTGATCCAATGAACTGACCAGAAGTGTTTGTATACAAGTTTACAACCAAAGGAAGATGCATCCGGGTTATGCATCAGCAGCACTACAACACATGAGCAATGTTTCCAAATTGCATTATTAGTCATTTTCATTCATTCATTCATTTTCTTTTCAGCTTAGTCCTTTTTTTACTCTGGGGTCATCACAGCAGAATGAACCGCCAACTTATCCAGCACATGTTTTTTATGCCCTTCCAGCAGCAATTAATCTCTGTCAAACATCCATACACACTCATTCACACATATAGACTACGGACAATTTAGCCTACCTAATTCACCTGTACCACATGTCTTTGGACTGTGGGGGAAACTGGAGAACCCGGGGGAAACCCACGCAAATGCAGGGAGAACATGCAAACTCCACACAGAAACACAAACTGACCCAGCTCAGAGAGTCTCGAACCAGCAACCTTCTTGCTGTGAGGTAACAGCACTATCTACTGTGCCACTTCGTTGCCCTATTATTCATTTTTCTTACCTTTTTTTAAATCTGTTTTATCAATGTTCTTTATGTTGCTGCTTCTAACCATTACATGTATGCAACATACTTAATTTATCATCTTAGGTAAGGCGATATCTCATACTAAAAGGGTAATTGCTGTTTTGCAATGGCAAAGTAATATAAAGCTTGAAGAATCAGAATCGGTACTTCGTATTTGCCAATCACCGGCAGTATCAGCTGCAAAAATCCTGATCAGACGATCCCTATGACAAGTGATCATGTAATCACTTTTTTTTTTTTTTTTTTCCAAATTAAAATGTTTCAACATCACAGTTTGTGTTTCCCATTTCGTTCAGATGTGTTACACTTGTTTAATGTGTTTTACTTAATAAATTACATCTCTTACAGAATAAAAACAAAAAAAATCATAATCATCGCATTGGAAATGCATGTGAAACACACATGAAATGGATGGTTTTATTTGAAGAAGTTAGCATTTGATCCAAGCAGCAGCCTCTCGCTCTCTCTCTCGTGAAGCAAATACGTAAGCAACTGAAACTGCAATTCATGGAAATTCCGCTAGTCTTGGCTCCGTAATAGAGCAAATTTCTATTGAGCCCACTGTTAAAATGGCTAACTTTACAGCAGAAAAAAGGTGTGGTAGCCTGGTACAAAGAATAGCCAATATTACCCTTCATGACAACTTTAAGGGGGGGATTTTTTTATTTGTATTACTCATTAGTTTTGTTTATATTAAGGTATATTAAGTCTGAATAATTAAGGGCGTGGCCACTTGAGATTCCGGCTGATTAGCTGCTGAGCTCGGCATATACATTGTATTTCTGTTTTATGTGGCTTTACACAGTCAGTTGCTTTTTTTGAATTATTTCTTACAATTATCAGATGATATGGTATGCTGTGTGCACTTAACACTTTACTGATAAAGTGTACAACCAATGTGGTCAGAACACAAATGAGTCACAGGTAAAAAAGTGTTAAGCATTTCTCACAAAGAAAAGCCTGTCAAAGAAAAATGGTAGCAGGCATCTCCGCTCACGCTCCACCTCTTTCCCCTTGTTTGGTATCCCCTGATGGTGAAAAATGGTGATGGTTGGCCATGCCTACATGTAGCTTCTTTTACGTTCTTCAGAAACCTATGAGTGACGCCACGGATACTACATCCATATCTTTTACAGCCTATGACTTGATCACATTTTTTTCTATGTGAAAATATTTTAACTCCACAACTTTCATGTGTTTCAAATGCAGTTTTAAAATGCAATGTCATATGACACTTATGTGGCTTTTCTAAGGAATGAAACAAACATAGGAAACGCATGAAACGTGGAACACATCTGAAACAAATGGAACAAGTGAGATATTCAGAGGCATTATTATCATAATAAGAGGTGATTATTAAAATGTTATCGGAACACATCCTGTGTTTTATTCTGTAAGAGAGTAAAATAACTTGGTACTGGTGCTGCCATACATGGTACTATTTTATTAATGTATGGTAATGTTTTCTTAAAGTCAATTAGATCAGGTTTGTAAAAGAAGTAAAAACAAACCACTAACATTTGGTGTGAAATAGCAATGCAGCGCATGGGTTGTTGAATGTGTTTGAAAGATGCTATGTATTATTTCCATGCAAAAGGTGAAAGATTTTTGAAAGTCAAAAACCAGCATTGAATATTTAACCTGTTACAAAAACAACACTAGTCCCTTTCATAAATATTTTTTGAGTTGAAACGCGTATCTAATTTTGAGCTGTTACATTTATAATCAAGAATTTCTTTTTCTGTCTTAAATGATCTTACAATGTTTTGATCATTGTATTTTTAGCATAGCTTAAATGTTCTTCCTTTGCTTTTTTTGGTGGGTTAAAGACGATATCATTTTTAAAACCAAGGATTTCAATGCAAGTTCTTTGTGTCTTTGAAGCACTTTTTGAAGGCTTGTTTGCTCTTGTATTTTCTCTCTGCTCCATCTTTTCCATTCTTGATCCTAGGTCCTCTTTCAAAGAAACAGAATGATGATTTAGCTGATAATGACGGTGCTGAGGATGAAGGTATTTTTTTTGATGCCAAACTGATATGCATGACAAGGAACCCTCCAGTTTTTTTCTTCTTTGTTTTTCTTAAATTTCTTGTCCTTTTTTGAGAGTGGAGATTTTTGTTTTTCTTGCTCGTTTTTTGCTGGATGTGTTTTGTCGTTTTTTGCTTGATGTGACCTGTCTCCCGTCATTCCAGATATACATATAATTGTTAATAACCCTTTCATAGGTTTTTTGCTTGAATATTTTTTTCTTATCATTTCCTTTTAATTTTATATGTTGCATCTCACCTAAACAAACCAAAGAAACAAGCCAACAAATGGACTAATAATCTTAATATTAATTCCTAACACTTTTTGCATGATTTTTAAACCCTTCTGCTTAAAAGACTGAGGTAATCCCCTTCTAAATACAATTTAAAAAATCTGTTTGATAGTCTTCCAACATTGACCATCTTAAAAATTTCCTATGCAACATTTGTATGTTCCTGGGATCCAAAACGCTTCGTCTGCATTTCCATCAGGCCGTGCATCAATAGTCATTACTGTCCAGCCGTTGAGATGACTTTTAATTGCCCGATGTTTAGTGGTTGTGCAGAAATCTATAGAGATGCACAACAAATTAACACATCGATTAAATGCCTAAGCTGTAGACTGTAAAAGAGGTACAAAATCTAATGATAATAATCCCCGAGTGACTGTATGCGATAAAAGCATTTCCTTTCGTGTTCGTGTCAAAACAGAAACCCAGCAAAGACTGTCTCCTGTATAATCAAATGAAATAAGAACCAATTAGAGGAGGCTAAAACCAGGAAAGAGCCTGCTCGCTTTGATCTGCACATCAAAAGATTACAGCAACACAAATATACAGTGAGAATCCCGCAGAGGATCTCTCTTGAAAACCGACAGAGTAATCCTCTTAAGCATGCCTGGCGATACACTGGAAAAACATTCGCTGCAGATATGAGCCGCAAACTTGAGGATCTTCAGAGACTTGGTGTGAATTACCTTCAGGACACACAGAACCAATCGCTCATCATTTTACTGGTCAATGCAGAACATCAGGCTACAATGGAACGTCCTCTCAAAACCAACAGCTTCTCAGTGACTTCTCAGATCAAGTGTGGATTTATTCAGATGGTTCTGCTGATCTCCTCTAACTTTAACAATAATGTGGAAGCAGAGATTTCCAACAAATTATTTTTGAGGATCTGCTCAGTTTTCTAAATTGGCAGATTTTAAGCCCAAATCTTTCATGATGTACAGTATGTATATAAATACATAAAAGCTATTTTACTGTATCTAAACAACTTAGACACATTAGAGCTACTTTATTTTATTTTTTTTTTACAGTAAACGAACGAATGAATGAATGGATGAATCAATTAATCAATCATCAATCAATCATCCAGCCAATCAATCAATCAATCAATCAGCTAATCAGCAAATCTATCAATCAATTAACCAACCAACCAACCAACCAAATAATCAACTAGCCATCCAACCAACGAACCAACAGCCAACCAACCAACCAACCAACCAACCAATCTAACACTCAATCAACTAGCCATCTAACCAACCAATTACCTGACCAACCAGCCAGCCTGCCAGTCAGCCAGCCTGCCAACCAACCAACCAACCAACCAACCAACCAACCAACAACCAATCAACCAACCAGCCAACCATCCAATCAATCAATCAACCAGTCGACCTTCCAATCAATCAATCAATCAACCAGTCGACCTTCCAATCAAGCAATCCAATCAACCAATTAACCAAAAGACCAACCAACCAATCAATCAATCAATTAACCAGTCAACCAGCCAGCCAGTCAGCCAAACCACCAACCAAATAACCGACCAACTGACAGACCAACCAACCAATCAACTAGCCATCCAACCAAACGACCAACCAACCAATTAATTAACAGGCCAACCAACCAATCAGAAAACCAGCCAACTAATCAATCAACCAACCAACCAATTACCTGATCGTCTGACCAACCAAACAACTAATGAACTGTCTTTGCATAAGAAGCTTTACTCGTTAAATAAAGCAAACTAATACAGTAAAATAATGCAATGGAAACAAACTATAATACTGTAATAGAACACTAGATAAACTATAAAACACGACATAATAGTTGAAAACCAACTATTGAACCAAAAATTCCTAAAGTAATTTGTAAACGTGAAACCTTTTGAATGCTACATATCTTTAAAAAAAAAAAAAAAAAAAACACTTCTGAAGCATATATTTTAATTATAGTGGTGAACAAATCAACAGAATATTCAGAGGGGTGTTTCGTTTTATTTCTTTTTTTTTATTGCGTTTGCTTACGCTAACATTGCACTAGTTTGTTTTCAGAAACCAACACAATTCATTTATACTACATTCATACATCAATGTATGTACTTTTTGGTGAGGAAAAGAACAAATATGTATTATATTATTTCACATTTTTACTGCATTACTTGCTAATTCACAATAAATATTGATAAACCAACACAAACCAACACGAATATTGATCAACCTATGTTCATTTCCAACTTATATTAGCAAATAAAATCTTGCAGTGTATAAAAATAAATAAATAAATAAATAAAAAATCTGTATGTGAGCCGAGTAGTATGTCAATATTCGTAGTTTCCAAAAACAAAATTCACCTGGTTGATCTACTACTTCTGTCAATGTATGTATCCAGTGGGAACTTTACTATCCCGTAAGGTCACATGGGAGAATTTAATCATATGCAATTAATAGTAATAGTATAGTAATAGTGATAGAGTAATGAAAGTAGTAATAGTTGTAAAATTGTAGAGATGACCTACCTTTAGTGAGCTTTTGAAGTGTTTATTTAATGGACACTTTACTATTTCATGAGGCCATGGAGAGAATAATGATAGTCATTTTTTTTTTTCTTCCCAAGACTAAGGTGTTCTTATGTCAGTGTAGTTTAGACATCTATTAAAATGACATTAAACAGTGTGTCACCTTTGCAAACTGATATATTATTTCTCCATCACTTGAGCTTCCAGATTTTACAGGCCAGTACAAGTAGTTAAAGGAGCAAAACTCTTACTTCTAGAACTTGTGTACGCTTTATGAATTAAATTACCATAGTTTTCATCAAGTTTTGCTTGAAAGTTCCACAGTTTTTCCAACTACCGTCTGAGTGAATTCATGTTCAAAAAGCACCCAAACGAGCTAAACATTTAAGTAAACACGTTTATTCAAATTCCCGGGGCCTATCTGAGCGTGCTTTTTTGCTAAGTGGAAAAGGGCCGGCGTTTGGCTCTCAGACAGCTGCAGCTGATAGGGTTGAGAGGAGACACAGAGCGCACATTAATTATGTAGACATAACGCTACCTTATTACTGCGCACTGCTTATACCAGCTGCCGTGGCATCGGCGACAGTTCGCGCCAACCAGCTCCTCTGATTTTATTTCATAGATCCAGTAATTGGCTTGATCACATCAGTGGCCCACTCTCGGATATTAATATCTATTCTAATTAGTTTACTTTTTTTTTGTTTTTCATATAAAAGCTGCATTCGGGTTGTAACCCGGGATCATCAATCATAAATAACAACTTCAAATGCCAAGGGATTCTCCAGATATGACTATTTGCTGGAGATTTACTAAAGCAAACTATCACCAAAATCAATAGCTGCTTTTGACACGTTCATTAATCTGGTGCTTTAGTATGAAGGGTACAGCGTTTATTGACTTTTTCTAGTAATCGGTAACAAAAGGCCCAAGAGACAGTGTAAGTGTGTGGTCTTCCATTGTGCTAGATTGAAAAGCTGAAGAAATTGCTTTTACAAAAGTAAAAAAAATGTTTCACTAGTGTCATTTAAAACTTGTATAACTATATTTTTTTTCTTCTAAAATAACACACAAGTATGACATTTGAAGAACAATTGAAACATTTTGCTCTTTCTTAACTTTCTGAAATAAATGAATAATAATCACTATAATAATAATAATAATAATAATAATAATAATAATAATAATAATAATGTAATAATAATAATCACAATAATGATAATAATAATAATAATAATAATAATAATGATAATTGAAACATGTTGCTCTTTCTTAACTTTCTGAAATGATAAATAAATAAAAATAAATAAATAAATAAATAAGTAAATTATACAATTAATATATAACAATAATAAAAGTATTATTATTATTATTATTATTATTAATAATAATAATAATTTTTAATAATAAACATTTTGCTCTTTCTAAACTTTCTAAAAAATAAATAAATATTATTAAAAATAGTAGTAATGATTGAAACATTTAGCTCTTTCTTAACTTTCTGAAATAAATAAATTAAGTATTTAATTATTAATTAATTAATCAGTCAATTAAATAATAATAATAATAATAATAATAATAATAATAATAATAATAATTATTATTATTATTATTAGTAGTAGTAGTAGTAGTAGTAGTATTATTGTTACTATTATTAGTATTATTAGTATTATTATTATTATTAGTATTATTATTAGTATTATTGAAACATTTAGCTTTTTCTTAACCTACTAAAATACATAAATAAATTAAAATATAATAATAATAATAATAATCATAATAATATCAATAATATTGATAATGATCAACAGGGTTTAACGCTAAGAATTATTTCGAGCTGCCAGCATTTTCACTTGCCCCAACAACAACAACAACAACAACAACAACAAAAATAATGTCAGTGAATGTAGAATTTAAATATTTTTAAAATGTTAATGATGCATAATACGCAAACTTACTATGCAAACAAAAAGAGCAGTATAGAAACGATGCAGGTATTTTATTGTAGTTTTAAATTATTTAACAAAAGGTGGCTGACTTGCCATACTGATGGCAAATAAATAAATAAATAATAATAATAATAATAATAATAATAATAATAAATATAATTTCACTAGGATAAAATACAAATTAATTTGTTTTATTTTATTTTAGTAGTAGTAGTAGTAGTAGTAGTAGTAGTAGTAGT